CTTCCGAAGCCCTACTTGCAATGAATTCTGCTATATCACTTCCTTTAATTGCTATCTGGTTTACATATTGGATATGAAATTCGGACAATAGGATCTTCCAACGAGCTAATCTTCCAGATAACGCAGGCACACCCATAAGATACTTCAAGGGATCAAGCTTGAATATAAGCTAAGTAGTATGAAACCTAATTCTACCTTAGAGCTACGATGGCTAAACACTAATTAACCCTAAAGTTTTAATATGAAACCTAAACTAAACTAATCTTAAACTAAACAATCACTGAGTCGCACTCCTTTATTCCCCTTTCTCTGCCTCTCTTTCTCTTCTACGAGAGCTTCAAAGCTCTAACCCCGACCACCATAAATGGCGGTCCAGTGACCTAAACCAACGACCCCAAGGTTCTAAAACACAAAGATAGCTCTAAGAGACTTAAAGAAACCATCAACCTCTCAGTTTTACCCTCTCCATTCTCTCTCGGCCACACACGGAGCTGCTTCCCCAAAAATGCCATCGCCGCCGTTCGGCCAGCCACCAAATGACCTACACTTACTTCGGCCACTCCTAACGACAACCACTCTAAATCCTGACCCCTACTAGACTTCAACCGAGAGACACCTAACACCCACTCTCTATCTCTTCTATCTCTCACCTCGATCGCTCACCAAATCTCGGCCATGACCACCATCCACCTCTATCGCTCAACGAGGAAACCGCCAGAAAGAAAGGTAAATTTCATTATGTCTTTGCATTTCTATGGACAAGTTCAATTTTTAACTGTAAAATGTTTGTTTTTTAAAAAGAAATCTCCTAAACCGAATCAAAGATGCTAAGCTAACAAATTTCTACCCTAAGGACGCAACCATGTCACTAGAAATGACCCCAATTTCTAAGGTAAACATATCACTTTCCCTTTACATTATTTTACTTATTTCTCTTAAGACTTCACCTCTAACTTACGAATTGTGGCTACTCAAGGAAACCTAACCCTCACTAACACCCTAACTAAACGCTATATGATAGCTACAATGCAAATAGAGAGCAAAATCGAGCAAGGTAATGTAACTAACTAGTCTTTCCTGTATTTTCACTTGTTTAGAAATAAAAACACTCATAGAAATTACAAGAAATTGAAATAAAGATAGAAGATACCAAAAAAATTATTCATTGCTTGTTATTGCTTTCCCGAAAAATGAGGATCCAACATCTGTTACACTGCTTGATCTTTTAATATGTAAATGTTGTTTACACTGTCTCTTTTCTCTCGTTCTGTTGTGTAAAAAAATAAAAATAAAAATGGTCTCTCCTTTTTCTCGTAATGGTCTGTGCTCTCCCCTTCTCCTCGTTCTCTCGGTTAATTTTTATTGTTGTGATCCCCGTTTCCAGTGGTTAATCAGAAATTAAAAACCCCCCACTCTCTACAAATTGTTCCCTCTCTTTTCCTGCTCAAAACTATATGTCTTAGTGGCTTAATCCAACTGAGCACGGGTTGGGTTAAATATCATGTTGGGCTCGATTCGACTTGTCTAATATGCTATAAGCCTGGACAAAACGAGCATCTACAACACATACATGTGGTATGTGACAGAAAAAAAGTATATGTGATCACAAGAGAAATGACATGAGTATATAAACATATGAAACACAAGAATAATGCCCATAGTATATGATACGAGAGCTATCGGTATAGTTGGCATGCCAAGAGTCGAGGGTTCTACGTGGTCCTTCGGGACGTATATGTATCATTTGGAATATTTACAGGGTCTTTTGACACATATTTGATCCATTGGAATATGTATATAGTTCTTAAGGAGTGGTACTTCGGGACAAATACAATACATAGGTCATTCGGGACAAAATTCATATGCCCCTAGTGGGACCCCATATGAGTTGTGGCGACAACAATAGTGCACAACCTCAATGTACTCGAATACATTGAGTTCTCAGTAATGTACATGAGCGTACAAAAAGGTATAAAAGTGTTTGCATTATTACATGTTATCATGCTATTATTATTTACATGGAATCATATTTGACATGATTGAATAAGTAGATGATATGTTCATATAGATATGAAATGCATTATTTTTATTATATGTTTTATATGCCTCACTAAGTTAACGACTTAGCGTGTGATTGTTTCACACGTAAGTTCTGAGAAGAGGAAGAATAATAAAAGCTAAGCAAGACAGGTCAGTTCTATTTTCCAAAGATCAGATCAGAAAAGAATTAAATAGTATGTATTTTGTAATAATGATAGTGGTTGGCATGTAATAAAGATTTGAATACGATATGCTCTAATTGGTTTGTAAAATCATATGAATGAGTTTGGTAATGTTTTAAACGTGTATATGTAAATGGTAATTTTGTATAGATGAAAACTTAGATTTTTATGAATTTATATGTATTTTGTCGAAAGTTACTGTAGTAGTGCATCGATACACAATTTATATTCGAAATTTTCACTGTTCATGGTACTGTTCATAAATACATATTTTTTTTCTAGATTTTTATAATGGAGTATAATTTAATAGAATATTATTGTATTTTCTTAATATGAGTTCAAATGTTTTATTATTTATTAAGAAAATGGTTTTAAAAAGTCAATGTGACATCTCGGACTCGTATCTGGGTCGGGTACGGGTTGGGGTGTTATAATACTGGTGTGAGCGTTTGATCAAGTTGAGTAAAAAAAATTTCGAGTTATTCAAGTTTACAAGTTCTATTTTATAACTCAAATTTAACTTGAATTTTTTTTCGAGTTTAATTTTTGAGTTTTTGTTTAATTTTAATTGTAAATATTTATAATATTATGATATTATTTTATTACAGTTTAAATGGTTTTTTATAACAATATATATAAATGGTTTTTATAACAATATATATATATATATATATATTTCTTCATATATGGTATACATACATCATATAAAGTCGAGAAACTCAACACAAATTTGAAAATCAATCCACTAATTATTAAACATTTCGAGTTATTCGAGTTGTATTTTACAACTCGATTTGAACTTCAATTTTTTTCAAGTTGAGTCGAGTTTATGAAAATACAACTCGAAAGTCAATTTGTTTTTTTTGGGTCAAGTCAAGTAAAAAAATCAATTTTTCGAGTCGAGATTTGCTCACCCCTAGTTAATAAATTGTCAAACTATAACAAATACGACTTTCAACTGTCAGATTTAATTCTATCAAGAATCATGTAAAAAAATGAGGAGTATAAACTTCGAAAAGCTATTCTAGCGAAAGATGGTTCTACTGATAGTAGGGTGTCTTGTAGAGACTCTTCTTAGAGAGAAAAGTCTTCCAAAGATTTTTTATTAACGGAAATTTGATACTTTCCAGAGGATCTTCTCTAGACGTATAACAAACTTATTTAATCTATCCTTAGCTTTTTCAATAGATAGGTTTGATTCGTGTGAACGATATTGATTTATCTTTCAAAAAACACTAAACTTACTCTATCAACTTACTTTCCAATAAGCATCTTTACACAATCCTGATTTTTAGAGTAAAGCTCCACTTCTTTTGCCCAAACATCCACCAGACAAATTTATGAAAGTTTCTTTCCGTAAACTATAACCAAAGGAAAGAAATAAGTCGAACAACTATGGCAATTCAAATGATGCATAGACTATACAATATTTAGTACAACCCTTTGAAGTCATCAATAGAGTTCATTCAATCCACCAAGCTTCATCTTGGCCAATCTAATAGGAAAAACTTCATCGACCTAACCTTATTATCGACCACATGATGATTGTGATATTGTTTACCATCGATATCAGATTGCTTAAATTTACTAGTTGAAACCAATGTTAGGCTCCGTCAAACAAAATTGAGATAATACTAGGATTGTTGCTTGAGATCGATTTGCTAGAGCTTCTTGCTCCATATCCGTCAGGTGATTAGTGACGAAGAAAATGAACAACAATGGAGGTGTGCTGCTATATAAGTTGAAGATAGGGTTTGTGAAGAAAACATATTAAGAAAAGGGGTAAGTTGATATTTTATCCCTAAACTACTTTGGGTTTACAAAAAGACCTGTGATTAATATTTTATCTGAAGTTCAGGATTTAAAATAAAAATTAAATCTTTTTACTAACGTACCACATCATCAAACTAATGACAACTTATGTCTCAATAACCAAATCTTAATAAAACGATAACGTAAGTGACCAAAATTTATGTTTTTTTAAATTTAGTTGAATAAGAGTATACAAATAGTAAACGAAAGTGATCAATCATTTAATTTACCCTTAATTATAATACAATTAATTTCGTACATCATTAATTTTATTATTTTCAATTATTTCATGTATTTTTTATATGTTTCATTCATGATATTCAATAATGTCGTTGCATTGCGTATTTGATTTAAATTAAAAATATTATTTTATTAGAACAATAACGAGATATTCTCGTAAATTATTGGAGTGAAATATTCGTTAATCGTTTTTGAAACAAAAGGGCATTTTTTTAAAATCATGTAAATTATATAATTTAATTCTGAAATGAAGCTATTTTTTATTTCCAAATAAAATGCAATCTTTTTATATTAACTTACATGAATAAGGATCACAATTTAAATTTGGTTCGAACTTATAATTACACTACTAAAACAACATAATCGACTCTCGAATCTATTTATTTTTATTCCCTCGTTTTTAAACGTGGACTTGATACAATTATCTTTAGAAACGAGGTTTTCAAGAATCTTTATTTTCAAAATTGATTTTATAAGTATTCGATCATATCTAACTCTAAAAAGTGACGATTCAATTTTATTTTAAAAATTGAGTTTTTTAAAAAAATTTAAAAATTCGAATATATATATTTTCAAACAAAAATCATCGAATTTAAAGACTATTATAAAAAAACATATTGGGTTCGGTTTAAGCCCAAAATTAAATAGGTTATTTTTATCGAGCTTTAAATTAGCACATTTATTAATCAAAGTAACACACAAAAGTTGAAGGAGAGAAACCTTTGCTTAAACCCTTGAAACTGTTACCAAACTGCCAGAGCAAAAAGAAGCAACAACAGCGGCGGCGGCGGGGACCATGGTGAAATCCTATCTAAGGTACGAGCCGGCGGCTTCCTTCGGTGTATTTGTATCTTCTGAATCGAATATCACATACGACAGCTCAGGCAAGCACCTTCTAGCTCCGGCTCTCGAGAAGATCGGTGTTTGGCACGTTCGTCAAGTCGTCTGCACCAAAACTCTATCTCCTTCTGTTTCCTCTCGCGGCTCCTCTCTCTTCGTAAACTGTGTCGCCTCCTCCCCTTCTTCACTGGTAATTTTTTTTTCATTCTCCTTCCTTTATCATTTATTGTAATGGATGCTCCGTTTTATTTTGTAGCTTTGATTGAAGCAATACCTGAAAGTTTAGTTTAAATATAATATATATTCTTTTCTGAATAATAAACTTGCCCGATGTTGTTTTCGCATTGATAAATTAGGAACTTTTAAAAATTGTGAACTTTAATAGTAACAACCAAATGGAGTCTTAAAGTGCTTCATGCATTCTTAGCGATTTTCATAAAAATTAGTATGAGCGAATTAAAACAAGGTTTAAATTGCAGGTGGCAAGTGGTTATGCTGATGGTAGTATAAGGATTTGGGATTGTGATAAAGGAAGTTGTGAGACTACATTGAATGGACATAAAGGGGCTGTGACTGCTTTAAGGTACAATAAGGTTGGATCTTTACTTGCTTCCGGAAGTAAAGACAATGATATTATATTGTGGGATGTTGTTGGTGAGACGGGTCTTTTTCGCCTTCGTGGGCATCGTGATCAGGTTTGTCATTTGTAAATCTTTCTATTAAAGTTAAGAACTTATCGTGGTATTTGTTATCTGTATATGTTTTAATTTCTTTGCATTTTGCAACTTGCAGATCACGGACCTTGTTTTCCTTGATTCTGGTAAAAAACTTGTTACTTCTTCCAAGGATAAATTTTTGCGAGTGTGGGATCTTGAAACTCAGCATTGTATGCAAATAGTTAGCGGCCATCATAGTGAAATTTGGTCTATTGATGTTGACCCGGATGAAAGATACTTGGTCACTGGTTCAGCAGATCTTGAACTCAGATTATTTTACAATGTAAAGCATGAGTTGATGAGTGGAGAGTCTATGGTGAATGTAACTGCGGCTAAAGCTGGGAATGACCGTGAGTTATCTACTCAAAATAAATGGGAAGTTCTGAAGCCCTTTGGTGAAATTATGCGACAAAGTAAGGATAGGGTTGCGACTGTGAGGTTTAGCAAGTCGGGAAATCTGCTTGCTTGTCAGGTGGCAGGAAAAACTGTTGAACTATTCCTTGTACATGACGAAGTTCAATCCAAGCGCGAAGCAAAACAAAGACTTAAAAACAGGAAGAAAAAGAAGAAGTCTGCAAAAATGGAAGTTGAAGAAACTGAAAATGTTGAAGCAAATCATGATACTGAAGAAGCTGGGAATACATTGGTTGTTACAGTTGCTGATGTTTTTAAGCTTCCTCCAACTATTATAGTCAGCAAAAAGATATGTTCCATCTCTTTTTGTCCAGTCACTCCAGAGAGTTCACTAGCTAGTTTAGCATTGTCTTTGAATAATAACTTGCTGGAGTTTTATTCAATTAAAAGTGATGGAAGTGAAAAAACACCTTCTATTAAGCTTGAAAGAACACTTTCTATTGAGCTTGAAGGACACCGTTCCGATGTTAGAAGTGTCACTCTTAGTTCAGACAATAGTTTTTTGATGTCAACCAGTCACAATGCTGTGAAGATTTGGAATCCAAGTACTGGTTCTTGCCTTAAAACAATTGATTCTGGCTATGGACTCTGTGGTCTAATTGTACCCCATAACAAATATGGAATTGTTGGCACTAAAGATGGGGAAATTGAAATTATTGACATTGATAATGGTACTTGCAGTGAAGTTGTTGGAGCTCATGGTGGCTCTGTACGGTCAATTGCTACCATTCCAAATGGAAATGGCTTTGTTACTGGCAGTGCAGACCATGATGTAAAGTTCTGGGAGTACATCAACCAAAAACCTGGTCAAGTGTGTTCCTCATATCTTCATCACCTACTTCAACATTTTTCAGCATTTAACTCCATTTATTCATATATTTTCCCTAACTCTCAGCTTGTTTAGCTTTGCCTTGATACAATGGAATGTATAACACATACTTTATTACAAATCTAGTCATCATGCTGAGTTAACAGATAAGTGATGCTAGGTTGGTCTTGTTGATTTTCAGGATTCCAAAAGCCTTACTATATTAAATGTGAGGACTATGAAAATGAATGATGATGTTTTAGTGGTTGCCGTTAGCCCAGATGCTAAATATGTTGCTGTTGCATTGTTTGATTGCACTGTAAAGGTAAGGAATGATCGACTTATCCTTCTCTCTTTTGAATTTTACTTTGTCCACTGTTGGTTGGTTTGATGAATTTATTTTGTTATGGTTTGATGAATTTATTTTGTTATTGTTTTCCTAGAATTTGTAAATGGAAGCATCATGCAGTTTCCTGCTCAACTTGTAAAACATGAAGTTGATTTATATAGTTGCCCTTTCCTACCGTCTCAATTTTGGTCTATGGCTTCAGCCCTCTGTATAAAACCTTCTATAGCTCATGATTTAAATGTGAGAATTAGATGTGACCTTGCATCTGTATGCCACTACACTAATCATGTCTTGCAAAGATTGGTTTATATGTGCTAATTATATCTGTTGATTTCAAAAATGTTTGTTTTCAGATTCTTTCTCTCTAAACATGTTCTGGTAGAAGCTTCCGATGGAAAAAATAAAGTCTGATCTACTGAATAACTCCCCAATTTGACTTCATAATAGCATTTAGGATATTGTGTTGTCAATCAGGATGTGCGAGTCAACTTGTTTTGCACTACTATGGGGGCTATAATGATAATAATGATTTTCAGTTCCCTTTTTATGCAGATCCTTTTTATGGATTCATTCAAAATTTTCCTTTCCTTATACGGCCACAAACTTCCTGTCCTATGTATGGATATTTCATCAGATGGAGATTTAATTGTAACTGGGTCTGCAGATAAGAATTTGAGGATTTGGGGCTTGGATTTTGGCGATTGCCACAAATCCATCTTTGCACATGCTGACAGGTTTTGTATGATTTTAATTATTATGGAATGCAAAAGTTCTCTTAATCCTAAATTGTTTATGTAGTTTTGGTGAACCTTTTGATCACCAATTCTGATGAGGTAATTTTTCAGTGTTATGGATGTTCAATTTGTCTACAACACACATTACATGTTCAGTGCTGGGAAAGATCGTCTTTTGAAGTACTGGGATGCTGATAAGTTTGAGTTGCTTTTAACGCTTGAGGGACATTATGCTGCTGTTTGGTGCCTTGCAGTCAGCAACCGTGGTGACTTTGTTGTTACAGGATCTCATGACCGGTCTATTCGCCGTTGGGATCGTACTGAGGAGCCATTTTTTATCGAGGTATTTTCAAATTTTTTGCTGTGTACCAGAAGTGAATTTCTTGGCTCAGGAATGAGAATGCCATTGTTAAACTAGTTCTTCTCACTGCATTTGTGATTACTTTTAGAAATGGATTTTCTTCTTTTTGTATTTAACCCTGCTTGAGTGTGCAGGAAGAAAAAGAGAAAAGATTGGAAGAAATCTTCGAGGCTTACATGGACGATACATTTGAAGACAGACATGTACCGAAGGAAGAACTTCCAGAAGAGGGAGCTGTTGCATTAGCAGGGAAGAGAACTCAGGAAACCCTGACAGCCGCTGATTCAATTATTGATGCACTAGATGTGGCAGAAGTGGAGTTAAAACGAATAGCTGAACATGAGGTATTCTTCTCTTGCTTTGGTCCGTTTCTTCTATACTGACGTGTTAATGTCTTTAACTAGCTTGTTTAAATTTGGGGAAAAACTGGAATAACCATAAACATCCAGACTAGGATATGATCTGGACTGAGACCCCACACATGGTATTTACGCATGCCGGGACTCATACCTGAAACATTAAGGTTTCTAGGGCCTTTACATTGACGCCAAAGTTGTATTTTGATACTCAATGGTTGACACTTTTAAATAATTTTTTCTTCCCCCAAGGAAGAAGGGGAAAAGGAAAAGAAAGCTGTTAACTATATTTGGGGTGGTGTGGTCGCTCGTTACTTTCCCTATCCTCTATATTGAGTGTCAGCACAATGGTTACTTTTTGTACTTGTAGAAAGATACAACTGCCAAGATGATAAATCTCTCTTGCAGAGATGATTTTCATTTTGCTCAGAAATGCCTGTTGGAATAATTTGGAAAATTTGTATAGCAGCAGAAAATGCTATAAGAAAACTGAAAGAGCCTAAATTTTTCAATAGTTGTGTTGCAGTTAATTTGTTCACTATGTTATATTTCAGGAGCAACAGGCCAGAGGAAAAGTTGCTGAATTCCAACCGAATCTGATTATGCTTGGGTTATCCCCATCGGATTATGTCCTTCGTGCTCTCTCAAATATTAGCACCAATGATCTGGAGCAGACTTTACTGGTAATTGAGCATTATGCATGGGAACTGCTCTAGTTCTAGTCCAAAATTCTGGAAAAGATGATATGTTATTTCATCCATGTTTTCAAGTGCATGCATGGAGACAGTTACACACCTGCAATCAGGCCTACGAGGATTAAGCTCATAATTGAAACATCTGGATAAGCAGTTTTTGTCATTTATCTTTTTGTGATCCACCTGATTGTGACTGTTTTTTTCATATCGTAGTCCATGGTCTTCTACTGCTTAGTTAATATTTGCCTAATAATGGGACCAAAGACCCTCATCAACTGAAATTCTAGTCACTTTAAAGAGAGTTTCTTTTCATATTTCAGCCATGCTAATAGGCAAGTTAAATTCATATATGGAGGCTGAACTATCTATGTCTAGTAGTTAAATTGAACTTGTCCATGCTGTATAGTACGGATAGGATCTTCTCATCTTTCCCGCATCTTATTATTTATCTCAATATCTGAGTCGAAGTTGTTTTATGGCTAGGCATTACCATTCTCAGATGCCCTCAAGCTGCTCTGTTATACGAAGGACTGGACTTCAAATCATGACAAGGTTGGCCTCTATGCTCTTATAAATGTGCTTATGGTTGGATGTTTTGGTAAATACTCTCTCTCTGTGACGCGTTTGATGTTAGGAAAGCATATGTCTTATGCATCTGAGCGCTAGACTTGTAATCTTACTGGTGTTATTACAATATATGCTGTTTGTGCAGGTTGAACTGGTTTGCAGGATTGTTACGATTTTGTTGCAGACACACCATAGTCAGTTAATTAGTACCCCATCTGCCAGACCAGTGTTGGCTGTTCTGAAAGAGATTATTTATGCAAGAGTTAAGGTAAATTTGTACTTCGGATTATGATTGTTTAAAACCCGCACATTCACTTGGAGCAAAAACATTCAGTTCTGTAACTAGTAGCCTTAATGATCTCTCTTTCATTTCTACTGTTGAATTTAAGTTCTAAATGGTCACATAATCCATAAATTTTAGATTTGGTAAAACTTAAGGATCTATTTCAATGACATAAACTTTGAATTTCTCAGGAATGCCATGATACTCTTGGTTTCAACCTTGCAGCAATGGATCATCTAAAGGTTTGTAAAATGGCTTTTCCAATATTATCAATTCAATTTCTAATACAATAGCAGAAACTTAATTTTATGCCCAACTGTTGCATGTTATTTGATTTCAGCAATTGATGGCTTCAAGATCAGACGCTCTATTCCGAGATGCAAAGTCAAAGTTGGTAGAGATATGTTCCCAGCAGTTGAAGCGTTTAGAAGCAAGAACGGAGAACAAAACAGAAAAACGAAAAAAGAAGAAACATAAGAAATAGAGTGATGATCTCCAAGATGGGAAAACTTTCATTATTTATTTTCAAGGTTTGGAGAGTGGTTCGCAGAATGTTCTTCCTGGTTTAGGTAAGAAACATCTTCATTTTGAGATTTTCATGACCAGTTTGGCTATACGCATGGATCAGAAAGAATACTGAAATGGGGTTTTATAATTAATTATTATTATTATTATTATTATTATTAATGTCTATATTACAATTATGCCTAGCCCGAGGAGGAAATACAAGTCGGGTACAAAGGCATTCAGCTCAAGAGCAACAAAATAGAAAAAAAGAAGACATTGGGGATGTGGCCTAATGTTTTCGTTAAGGACGAAGGGGGTTAGACCCTTATTTTACTAAATATTATGTAGGCTACAAATATAGGAAGGTGGATTAGTATATCAACAGAAATCTTTTGGGTTTCAGTGAAGATGAGAAAGCAAAAGCAATACACAGGTTTCGTTTATCCTTTCTCTTGGCACGATTTTGGCCATTATTTCAAAGCAAAAGATTTTCCGAGAAGAAATTGAGAGGATTACCATCTTTATTTTTATGTATAAAAATAAATCATTTAATGAATGTAAATGCGACAGAAATATGAATTAATTCACAATTTTTTATATTTTTTATTAAGTACACAAACAGGAAGAAAAAAATATTTATCAACTTTTTATTCGTTTAATTTTCTCTAATCGTGGAGAATGGTTTCTATTATATATTTTCTCTAAATATTGCTTTAATTATTTTCATTGGTTATTTACTTTGAAATTTACGAATTTTTGATTTGAAATTAATAAAAATAAAAATATATAATGATTTTAAATAATATTAATACACTACTATTAATAAAAGATATTTAAATTTTTAAAAGTTGTCTTACATTTTCAAAAGGGAACATTACTGGATCCAAGATTCTCCTTGTACCCTTATCGCTAACCATTAGGGTTGTAAATGAGACGAAACAGATCGTGGGTTATTTGAGATTGACTTGATAAATACTCGAATCGAATGGACTCGATCTCGAGCTCGACTCGAGTTCTTAACGAGCCGAAACGAACTATTTGATATTCAACTCGAAAGCTCGTGAGCAGTTCGAAAATATAATATATTAAGATTTTTTTAAAAAAAATAAATTATTAATAATATTAATATTTATGTACTGATTTTTTTTAAAAATACAGTAAGATTTTCTTGTATTTAAGGTTCTGGTTCGAGTTCGAGTTTGAGGCTTTAATCGAGTTAAGTTTAAGAATTATTTTTCATTTCGAGCCTTTTCGAGTTGCTCACGAGCTTCAGTTCAAGATTTTGAGTTCGAGTCGAGCTTGAAAATTTTAAGTTCGCGAGTTTTCGAGTCGAGTCGAGCTCCATTTCAGAGTTTGAGTCGAGTCGAGCTCGGCAATACTCAAGCTCGACTCGGCTAGTTTACACCCTTACTAACCACGAACGTGCTATTTAATGTCACCTAACGCTAGCCAAACGAGTCTCCTTTAGTCTCAAGCATCATAATCTAGCATATCATTAGGTGTTGTATATAGCTCACACTCATATAGCAAGACGAATATATTAAAGACAAAATTTGGGTCGTAAGTTCAAACACTTATCCAAACACACAAAGATACGTTATGATGTAGTCTGGGGTCACACAACATCGCAAGATTTATACGCCATTAGTCTACTAACATAGGTACTTTGGATAAAACCTGGATCGCTATCGTGACAGGAACGTACATCTCGTGGTCGCACATGACCAACACCTCTACTCTTAGAAAATTTGAGTAACCCATTACACGCGACTAACGATCAACAAGCAAGCAACTCAACATCCTCAACGTTTTTCTTAGGGACATACACATCAAAATCCAAACTTAGGATTACTCAAGCTCTACCGAGCTGGTCATACGAACCATGCAACCTCGATGCGGACACACGCTCCCATAATCTCAATCATATCCTTGAAGAGCCACTCAGATACCCTCTCATGGAACACTCTCGGGTGGAAAAATCTACTATCAAACTTCTCCTTAGAGTTGATCCTCAACTCAACAAGAAACAATTGACGGTTCTCACACGACTACATTAATCTAAAAGGCACTTGGACCCTCACGTCAGGATCTTCTACGTGAATACTCTTCCTATTTAGTTCACTTTGACACCACGAAGGAATGCACGAATTTACGTCTACTAGTGCAACATTATCAATCGAGATTGCTGAAAATATACTTGATATCTCAACTACGACATCAACATCCTCTATATACCTCACGATGATCTGACAAGCTAGGATATATGTAGCTAAGCTAGGAACAGGTCGATCTGTTCCACTGCTCTCTTGCTCAATCATAGCATTGAAACCTTTATGTGCAAACCCTCCATCACGTTAGGCTCCGAGGTCAATTAATAACATCGCTATCCGAGGTAGGGCAGTCTCTCACAAGATGCTCTAAGGACCCATATAAAAAACACGTCCTAGAGAGACCAATGCATCTCCCTTGATGCCTCTTATCACAATGCTCACACTCTGGATATGTTTACGCTCTGTCAGAACCTCTCGTGGTCTTCACAGGTGGTGACGCTAGCGATCTCCTACATAACCCTACTTTAGACCTTTGACTCGATTGGTGCGACTGAACTGGTGTTACCCTCATTCTCACACGAGAATCCACTACCCTCTAGGCCACTCAGCTGAGATAGATCTACTGATACCAAAATCCTTCAACTCAGCGTATTGATACCATCTATTAAACTAATCCTCATGTTTGTACCCTTTCCGCGACCTTAACATATCATGTCAACTATGGGAATACTTTGGGCGGGTTTATCGCCACTGCACATTAATACCTATACGAAGCCTCTCGAGAGACCTTCTGCACCTCAAGGACTCAGTTGTAACCAACTCTAAAGCATATCAAGTCAACCAAAAGAAATTTCTCTTGTAATCGTACAATCTCCTTAACCCATTGGGAGTACTACATCCTCAAGACATTTATATATGCCTCGATATACTTTTCACTGGACTGACTTAGAGACTGATCACACATAGGCATCTTAGGATGTAGAGTCATTTTTATAGTCTCCTGCTATTAGATTGAGCAAAGCAATGGCGCATCCTAGCTTACCCTTGGGGGTAAGGTGAAGTTGCCTTTAAGTCCTAGTTTCTCTCCACTACTGATTAGTCGAAATCGGGTTATCATCACCTAAACTGAAGAAGTCGATTGTCTTATACCTCCTTAGTCTCTCTATCGAAGACTTTAACAGTGCTGTCACACTTGGAGCATTTGGTTGAGTAGTTTGTGTTGTACAAAAAACGTCCACTACCCCTCTAAGCATGAAAATCAAACCTCTAAAGAATGTCATCTCAATGACTCTCACAGACATCGGAACCTTGCGATCCTCTACCTTAGGTTGAAACGTATTGTTAAATTACCGAGATGAGAGACACAACTTTCAATCCTACTATTGAGACTACACTTGGAACTCAAAACCATCACACTTTCGTAAAAAGAGATTACATAGAGGAAGCACCATCAGAATTTCATTCTTATAAGAGTACTTTTAGAACCTAGGGGCATGTATTCACTAACGTCTTACCAAAACCAACCATTGATTTTATAAAATTTATTTTAACGGTTATAGGGAGTTACTAAAATTAAATGATGATTTTGGTAATATTTAAATGTTTTCTCTTGAAATAATTGGTATGTAGAGATGTGCAACCATCTATTCTCACATAGGGTAATATTATTTAGTCTCAAGAATCTAAGGTGAAAATAATTATGGTTTGTCGTACTAAAAATTTATTTTGAGAAATTTATAAAGACAACAGGTCCGTTGCAATTTTGGAGAAGTAAAAAATCGGTTACGCTAACATGAAAAAAATTCTCCAAATCAAATAGTTTTCAAATCCTAAAGATAAGGATTCTATTACTATCAATATTTTTTTATGAAATTTATTACTGTTAATAAATTTCAAAGACTAATATTATTGAATTTATTCTGATTTGAAGATTGGTAGATTCCGAGATCATCCTAATTAAGATATTATGATGCAAAGAGTGAAGAGTAAAGTTACTAGCATGGTGAGAATGAGCAAGTCTACTTTGATATTATGGTTTTACCTATGAGGTCAGATTATTTAGACTTGTTGTCTTTTAATTCATGTTTTTTTAAAAAAAAATACATGAATTAGATTGTATGAGCTTTTAAGTTAGTCTTTAAAACTTAGTGGATAAATTATGAAATGAGATAAACCACTAGTAAAGACTAAGGTAGTGAAAGATTACTAAGGCTAACATAGTACTGAGCCCAAAATGTATATGCTTAATAAGATATCATTGTAAGTAAAAGTATCAAGCATAATTCTTTAAGAGGCATTAAAGAAAGAGAAAATTCATAAATGATTTATATGAAAACATTATGAAAATGCATGTCTATGATTGGTTCTGTGAAAGACCTGATATTTAAGTGTGCCTAGTACACCACCTCTCTTTCATGTTAACATACATGATGCATTGTTCTTTAATGTGCTCACTTTTATAAAAATACTATGACGAATCAAACTCTCTTTAAACTTATTATAAAAGTTAAAATAGTAGAAATTAATATGGTTAGTAAAATACCAAATTTAGTCATAGTAAATAAAACATGTGATGAAATATGTTGAATAATATGAATGAGAATATGATAGACATTAGTGCTACTAAAAGATTGGTTAAATCTCTTTGAGTTTATTTCTCAAGTAGAGAAAAGAAAAGAGATAGTCTATCTTAGGAGTTGTGTTGAAATCTCTGGTAACTATTTGAGATAATTTTTTATTTTTAGAAAAAGTTGAAAACTCATAATATTTTTTATGATATTCCTAATTTCTTGAACACTTCTTTTGAAGAATTAGGAAAAGTTGAAATTCTCTTTGAGTAAGATAAATGGAATTTTATAATAATTGAAAATCATATATACTAATCTTACTGATTAGTAGAGTTGAGAATATAAACACATGAAAACATAACATGATTATGTTTAAATAAGGATTTGATGTTCGAAACCTATTATGACTTTACTCTAGTAAAATGTAGTAAATTAGAGACAATTTGTTCATGTGTTATATATAAAGTGAATTAAGGCCCCTTATGCTTAAAAGAGTGATTTCTACCATAAAAGTAGTAGAAATTGTGGGGGTATCTGAAAAATAATTTTCATGTAGTATGATGTTTAAACATATAAACTTATAGTTTATACGTATAAGTGTGATGTTTTGAGTAATTCTATGAAACTAAGATAATTTTTATCCTCTTAGATTGTAATGAACAAAACTTGGATAAGTTAATTATCCTAAAAATAAAAAAGTTACTAAAACTAATAAAAGACATTATTTAAGTGAAGTCTTTTTAGA